TATATATATATATATATTCTCTTTTACTTTAACAAATTATATTTTAAATTAGATTATGTTTTTTTGTAAATAAATAATTATTTACGAATTATGTTATTAATAACGTTTGTTGTTACACAATTATGTCTATTGTTTTTATTTAATAAAAAAAAAATATCATAGGAGAGAAAAAAGGAGGCTAGATTAACGATAATCGTGCGAATCGGTGAATTTTTCTTCGTACAAGCGCACGTCCATAGCAAAGAATTTCTGCCGTTCACCGAGTTAACTGGGGTGGGAAAAAAGTCTGTAATATGGTAACATTAATTACACCGGATATCCTTTGTTTAAAGATTAATTAAGAATCGTTTTCTCTCTCACTCTCTCTCTCTCTCTCTCTTTCTTTTTCTCTCATATTACATATTTCTCTCTCATTCGTACTCATACATTCTTCGAGAAACTAAAGAATTCTGATTATAATTAAATTTCTATCATAAATAAAATACCCAATTGATTGTTTTATTTTTTGTTTTGTTTTTTTGTTTTTTTAAACATTTAATAATTAAAAATAATTAAGAAAATATCATTCGAACGAATCTTAAGAAAACAAAAAAACAACAAATCTAATAATTTGATAAAGAACGGATTATACAGGTCGATAAGTAAGATCTCTTTTTATCGATTGAATTTTTTGATTTTATTGTTTTTTTTCTTATTAATTTTGAATTCAACGATGAATGTAAAAAAAAAAAAATGTTGTGTTGCATCGACAATTTATCGTGTCGGATAAAATGGCAGGCTATGTTCTGTGGTTACGATTTCGGTAATGGTGGTGATGGTTACGGTAGGTCCGGTGGTTACGATTTCGGTAGTGGTGATGGTTACGGTAGTCCGGTGATTACGATTTCAAAATCTCGTAGAGAATAAGAGAAAGAGAGATAGAGAGAAATAGAAAAAAAAAAAAAAATAGATGTATGCAGATAACACACGGTAGAAGTAAAACCTTGAAAGAAAACCAAGCAACTTCGAGACGTGAATATATCATCGAAATAATTGTATTGTAATACAGTGCCATCTATTGAAAGAACCTTACAAAAACCTAGATAATCTCTAAATAAAAATCTTTAAATTAGTGATAAAAAATAATAATAAATAATTTATGCGATCAATCAAACTAATACTATTATTTGTATTAGTTGTAAGAAAATGGAAAAGTTCAGTGGAAAATAAAAGAGAAGGGGTCGTTGAATGGAATAATTGGATTCTCTAATGAAATTTGACGGTATTATGCAAAGCATGGTGTCTATAGGAGTTGTTGTTGCATGTGCAAATGAGAAATGTTACTATACTTAGATTTTAACACGGTTATTTATTCCTCATTCATTAGAAAGGATAATTCAATAACTTCTGATTAAAGATTAGTTAAAGATAGATGAGATATGATAAAAATGAGGATTTTCTTATTAGACATATATATATATATATATATTTCATTAATGTAAGAAGCGCATCTATAAAATGGAATGCTTTGCAAAATTTTATTCGATAATAAAAAAAAAAAAAAAAAATCGAATTTTTCTTTTCCTTTATAACACATAATAAAATTCAAAAAGTAAAAAAATCCTCTTAAAAGCTTCGAGAAGTAGCTTATGGATAAATATGAAATCAATAGATGGATAATTTTAAGTACTTAATCCTGTTACGTCATATATCGTGATACTGCCTAATCAATTAGATCTTTCAATAGAAAGTAATTGCTGAAATAATTTATTCTATTATATTTAATACAATACTAATATTATTATACTGTAACTATATTATTATTATTATTATTATTTGAATATAATAGAATAATATTTATATATCATAATAATTATTACAAATATTTATATATCCTTTTGTAATTCATACAGTACAATTATATCAGTAAAAATGTTATTAGGTATATCATCATAGTTACTTTCAATTAAATATTATTTTTCGATGAAACAATAATATTCATAATTAAACAAGAATTTGTCCAAAAAAAAAAAAAAAAGAAGAGAAAATAATCTTCGTATATAATTTCAATTATTAAAAATCGGTTTCATCCATGCATATAAAAAAAAAAAAACAGAGCACAAAGGCAAAGGAAAATAAAACAAACAAAAATGGAAGAATCATTTATTTTACATCGATATAACATCGAATGTTTACATATATACATACATACATGCGCACCTGCATATATATATATATATATATATGTATATATGTACTATACATATTCATATGTATTCTCACATACAATAAACGCAAAACGGATAATGTCGATCGAATAACGTTTTTCTGAACACACACACACACACACACACACTTTGAAAGTTTTCCTAGCGTAATGGCAGAGTGCCGCGAAAAATCGATGACCGCATACGCAGCAGCAAACGACGAGTAGTCCATTTGCGATATTACGTCGATCAAAAGCATCATGAAAAATCGTAGGTACATGCAGCAACCATTAAATATTTATTATTACTGGACAAGAGGAATAAGAAGAAATAAAAAAAAAAAAAAAAAGAAAAAAAGAAAAAAAAAACAGAAAGAAAATAAAAGAGTTCGATCGAACGTCGAAACGACGAAGCGGTTAAAACCGGAAATACGCGCGCGCGTACACACACACACAAACACATGCACATACATCCGTATATAAATATGTGGGTGCGCATATAAACATACTTCGTGTGGGTTCTGCGACACATGGATGTCTCTCATAATGGAAGACACCCTTGACGATCATAATGAAGAACATGGAAAAACATGGTGTTCTCTCAAGTCACCCCACTCTTATAACCACCCCCCATCCCCATCCCCATCCCCCCATCCCTTTTCCTCTTACATTTTAACGTTTCTTTCCATCTACATTTCAAGTATTGAGAATACACAACACGCTCGATAGATTTGAAAACGATTAGGGTGAAAATGAGAATATAATT